GCCCTGTCACTTATTTGTAAGCCATTTAATCTTTGAGCCTCTTTGTTCACCTTTGAAATGGAAGTACAAATATCAACTCTAAAGTGTTGCTGTGAAAACAAAATGAAACCATATGTGGTGGAATAGGTACCTCAACTCATATAGTCATGAAAAGCCAGAACTTATAATCAAGATTTAAAATCACTTCATCACCTGTTGTTGGAGGAGAGGGGTAGGTATTAAGAATCTAAACGTGGGACTTCCCTGGTGGCGCAGTGGTTAAGAATCCGCCTGCCTAAATCAGGGGACACGGGTTCGAGCCCTGGTCTGGGAAGATCCCACATGCCACGGAGCAACTAAGCCTGTGCACCACAACTACTGAGCCTGTGCTCTAGAGCCCGTGAGCCACAACTACTGAGCCCACGTGCCACAACTATTAAAGCCCGTGCGCCTAGAGCCCATGCTCCGCAACAGAGAAGCCACAGCAATGAGAAGCCCGCGCACTGCAACGAACACCGAAAACAGCCAAAAATTAATTAATTAATTAATTTTAAAAAAAGAATCTAAACATGGGGAGTTCCCTGGTGGCCTAATGGTTAGGATTCCGGGCTTTCACTGTCATGGCCAGGGTTCAGTCCTTGGCCGGGGAACTGAGATCCCGCAAGCCGTGCGGTGTAGACAAAAAAAAAAAAAAAAAAGAATCTAAATATATATAATCTTTTATTTGGAAAACTTATTAGGGATGATTACCACCCTGTATTTTCTTAGGAGGGAGACTGAAAGATTTGCACAAAAAAATTGTTTGTTCAACTTTGATGGAAGGTAAATCCCTTTAGTTCTCACTTTGTTTTAAAGATCAGGGAGGGCTTCCCTGGTAGCACAGTGGTTGAGAGTCCGCCTGCCAATGCAGGGGACACGGGTTCGTGTCCCGGTCTGGGAAGATCCCAATATGCCGCGGAGCGGCTGGGCCCGTGCACCACAACTACTGAGCCTGCGCGTCCGGAGCCCGTGCTCCGCAACGGGAGAGGCCACAGCAGTGTACCGCAAAAAAAAAAAAAGATCAGGGAAAGTTCCAAACTTCTTAATCATAGATTATTTATAATCTCTTTCTTTCATGGAATCTTTGAGATCCAAGAATGTCTATTCTTTAAAGTTAAACACAAAATAATTGGAGAGATTTGAAAATGGACAGGATGTTAAAATTATATTAGATAACAATATACTAGTTTTGTAAGAAAAGACTTTTTAGGAGATGCACGCTGATGTATTTAGTGGTGAAGTTCAACGTTGTTTGCAACTTTGCATGGTTCAGAAAAAAATTATATATAAATAAATAAAAATTATATAAGTAAAGCAAACATGGCAAAATGTTAATTGTTGAACTTAGATAATAGGCATATGGGTAATGTTTAAAATTGTTCATAGTAGAGCACTGGGGGAAAAAAGAAACAAACAAGAGGTTGCGTTTAGGGACTGTCCTGTGTGAAATTTTCCATTTTTTCCGTTTCCACTCATTGCATAGATAGTTGAGGTAAGGGTGGTTAGAAAAGAAAACAGCTGGAGAAATAACAATATATTCAGCCACAAGTCAACTAACTAAAAGACAAGTCCTACAAAACTTTTGAAACAATGTTATGCCACTTACAGAGTCATTCAACTATATAAGTCAGTAACTGAAACAACATGGTTTTAACAAAGAGGTTAGCCTTTCCAATGGACCTGATCTAGGGACTTTATCTAGGGATATTTAGGGACCACATTTTGAAGATATTAAGGCAACTACAGAAGAAAATAAGTAATGCAGTTCCTCTGTTTAGAACACAGACCATCTTGAGAACCATGCTTCATATGCTAATAATTAATGCTTATCTGTAAATGGGTATATTGATCTTAAGAGGTGGCATAAGAACAAAAAGAATCATATAGGAAATAAGCCAAAGTGCTATTCAATTTTAAAGTGTTATTACAGGATGAATAAAGAAATCAAAGGACTGCAAGTGAAAAGAAGACAAAAAGAGATTTTACAAAACTGGAACACAAACATAAATGAAAAAAACTAAAAAACACAAGAGACCAAATGAAATCATTTCTTGAGTTAATTTACTAAATGTCTCACAGCATATAAGCTATAAAATACTACTCTCTGCATATTTTTTTTTCTTTTTTTTTTTTCATAGTACACGGGCCTCTCACTGTTGCGGCCTCTACCGCTGCGGAGCACAGGCTCCGGACGCGCAGGCTCAGCGGCCATGGCTTACGGGCCCAGCCGCTCCGCAGCATGTGGGATCTTTCCGGACGGGGGCACGACCCCGCGCCCCCTGCATCGGCAGGCGGACTCTCAACCACTGCGCCACCAGGGAAGCCCTCTCTGCATCTTTTAAGAAACACCTGCAGTTCTTTGGTAGAGAATTTCTTGTAAGGCAGGATCTGCAGTTCCCTCCAAATATCCCAACAGAACTCCACCGACTTCTAAGAATGTTAAGGGAGTGATCTAAAAGATGCAAAATGTTTAACGTCTTATGATGCATTTACAATGTGAACATCCATGTGACAGAATATTATTCAGCAATTTCAATGCAAGTAGGAAGAGTAAAGCACAACAAAGAATGCTAAAATAAAAATAAAAATAATAATAATGAAATGAATAAGTAAGTACACTTGTGACTATTAAAAAATTAGTCAGGGGGGCTTCCGCGGTGGCACAGTGGTTGAGAGTCCGCCTGCCGATGCAGGGGACACGGGTTCGGGCCCCGGTCCGGGAGGATCCCACTTGCCGCAGAGCGGCTGCGCCCGTGAGCCATGGCCGCTGAGCCTGCGCGTCCGGAGCCTGTGCTCCGCAACGGGAGAGGCCACAACAGCGAGAGGCCTGCGTACTGAAAAAAAAAAAAAAAAATTAGTCAGGGATACCAAAAAGACAATTATAATGAGATGTTGGAATTCTATTTCTGTTTCCATTTTCCCACTAGTTCTACCAGAAAAAAAAATTTTTTAGTTATCATTATAAAGGAATGAAGGGAAAAAAACAGTAAGAATGCCTTGGCTGGAAGGCCACTAATGAACAATCATATACAAAGAGCCCTTAAGGTAATACCTAATGTGGGATATGAAACAAGATGTTATAAGCAAGGTCACCGTCCTCAACAATTAAGGGTCTCTGCTATTTTCACCCTAACAGCAACCCATGCAAAGCCAAACATTCATCCCTTCTTTCCAATGGTGGGTCCTAAAAGGCATCCATCTAAGAAGTACTGCCAGTAATAGCATTCTTAATTGTGACCTGCCTACAGACATCTTATTCTCAGAGGCTTTTTAGGCCTGAACTGACATGAAATATACTACTTATCTGGAGGCTTTTGTTTTTCTGTTTAACTGTGAAAGAACAATGTTGTTAAATTACTCATCTTTTAATATCAAAATCATAAACTCAAACTCACTCATTGCTAATGCACTTTAGAGTGTTAGGGAGTCGCCACCTAGATAGGCTATTTTTTTTTTAATTTTTTTTAGCTTGCTTGTTTGAAACTCACAAAGCATTTTTTCCTAGAAATATTATAGTAATAAGGTAAATGGATCTGGCCACCAAAGCCTCATTTCCACAATCTCTCCCTCAATTTCCTGGTCTAAAAGACTAATGGCTATTAGGATGCTTCTTATGCTTTCCAGGCGTCTCCCATGCAGGCCTCCATTCCTATCATGGAACTTTCACAAGTAAGGTATTTGTAAGCTGGGAAATGCCTTATTAACAATTTAATATTTTACCACCTAAATCCTACTAATCATTTTTACAACACTGATAACATTTGATTAACTTAAACTCTAAATTAAAAATGTTTTTTAGCAATCAGCAAATTAAAAACAAAGGGGTAAAAGCGAGTTCTAAAATGTCCTTACAGTGTGTGACCTCAAACATATAAAGCAAGATGCTATTTTAAAATATGTTGAAAAGTTTAAAGATGGATGAATTTAAATTTAATCCTTTTTGTAAAAAAACCAAACAGCAGTCTATTACCACTGGGACTAAGCACTGAAAAACTAAGTTATAAAACAAATACATGAAACATGACTACAATTTAAATTCTTTGGATTCTTTATCTTCTAAGCCCCCACTTTTAATACAGAATTAACTTTCCCAACCTAAGCACAGCATCATTATTTAACACTTCATATCTAAAAGCTGTACTTTAGGAACATTTTATGAGTTTTCAGTCATCAAGAAAGCTTCAGAACGAAAAAGTGGGAGTTAAAAGATAAGACAGCTTCAGATAGTACAAAAGATAAGACAGCTTCAGATAGTACCACAGTAGAAATACTAGAACAAATAGTGGCTTAGAATTTTATGTTTTTTGACTTTATGTTTCCTCTATTTTCTACAAAAACCTTTTAGCATCTGATAATTTCATCAGCCCTTCTGTTTTTTTTAATTGCTTTTTAATTTAGCCTAATTTTTTTTTTTTTTTGGCTGCGTTGGGTCTTCGTTGTTGGGCACAGGCTTTCTCTAGTTGCAGTGAGCGGGGGCTACACTTCGTTGTGGTGCACGGGCTTCTCATTGCGGTGGCTCCTCTTGTGGCAGAGTACAGGCTTTAGGTGCATGGGCTTCGATAGTTGTGGTTCACAGGCTCTAGAGCACAGGCTCAGTAGTTGTGGCACACGGGCTTAGTTGCTCCGCGGCATGTGGGATATTCCCAGACCAGGGCTCGAACCTGTGTCCCCTGCATTGGCAGGCGGATTCTTAACCACTGCGCCACCAGGGAAGCCCCAGCTCTTCTGTATTCAAACTAGTAACCTTTACTTCCCATCATGTCCCAGATAAATGAGTCCTGAGATTTCCTAAAGCATGGACCTCAGTTACTGAGTCCCCTTTATAAGGCAAATATTCATTTAAATTTGTTGGAATAGGGTTTTATGCTCTAAACCGAAGTTTCACTAGAGTGCTTAGGATGTTCCAAAAAATTCTTTCCAAAGCTCTCTTTGGTCCATTCAAAACAATCAGAATGGAAGTTGCAGAAGAACCGGAGCATCTATCAGTCATATTTGGTTCTGTCTGTCAGGGGTTCCTCCTCGTAATGGGAAATGATTTGAACGAGGATGGAACAGTTGATAAGGAGGAAGAACAAACCAGCTAACCAGATAAACAGAAAGGTGTTCTTTCCTTGAAACTCAAGAACATAAGCAGGAGCCAGCCATAAGGCCTGCCCTATGAACCATAACATCAGGAGAACCACAGCTCTTCTCCAAGGCATTCTCACTAGTGGCATCACAAGAGGCAGGAGGCAGAGGTACCAAAGAAAGTACTGGGAGGTGCAGACTTTGTTAAATGTCACGAAAATAGACGTATGAAGAAAACAACAAAAGGCAAGGTCTCTGTAATAAGCGAAAGACACTGCTGAAAGCAAGATGAATTGTGACAGGAATGCAGCAATTCCCAGGGGAAAACTCCACTTGCTCTCTGCGGTCAAATACAGCATGTAGAAGTATGGAGAGAAGTTGTGACGGATATCCCGCCTGGTCAGGTGATAAAGGTAGGTGTGCTCCAAAAACTCCCAACCATATTTGTAGTAAAAACCGAAGCTCAGGGCAAAAAACGTGAGTCCAGCAACGGCTACGAAGTGCAGCACAGCCCGATTACACAGCCTCTTCAGGAATTCATACAGACGAGCCTGGGAAGAACACCGGGATTGACGGAGGCCTTCGTCACTGTCGCGTTCCGGAAGCAAGTGGAGTGCTATGGGAAGGATATAGGTCACCGGATACATCTTCAAATGCACTGCGAAACCATAGGATACAGCGGCACACGCGACGAGCCTTTTTTCTATTAGGTACAGTGTCATAAGCACCAGGGAGGAGACGATTGAGTCCGCATTGCCTCGGCTGGACACCGCCATAGGTAGGGGGTTAAGAAGCCAAAAGACACAGTAACCGCAAGCCTGGCGGCGACCCAGCCCCTTAAGAAGCAGTAGCCGGTATAAGAGGAAGGCGGTGAGGAGGTCGAAGCTGACGAAGAGAAACTTTCCAAAGAGTTCATTGAGATAGATGTTGGGAGTGAGGAACCACCCCAGCAGCGGAGTGTAACGGTACGTCGCCCTCAGGTAAGGGGAGCGCCCTTCCGTGACGAAACGCGCGGCGTCGGTGAAGACCTGGTAGTCGATGTCTGTATACCTCACGAGCAGGGTCCGGTCCTGGAAGAGCCCATAGAAAACCAGGGCCACACGGGCAAGGAAGGCCACACCAAATACCCCGGCGGGGGGCACCCACAGGTTCAGGAACCACTCTCCCGAGGGCGTGGTCGGGCTCATGATCTGACTGCACCACAGCAGCTCAGTCCCCAGCTCTAAACTGCCTTGGAAGGCCTAACCCTCGCCGCGTTTCCTTGCTTCAGGTCGCCGGCACTACTCCTACCAGCTAGACTGCCAACCGAAACAACTGCGGGACGACAACTTCCGGCAGGAAGGCCCGCCCCCGTCCTGTTTCCGGTCGCACGCCAGGCACTGGGTTCTTAGTGGCCCCAGCGGGAGAATTACCTTCCTTCTGGACAGGCTATCTCGAGTCCTCCACCTCCGGCGGGGGCGGGGTTTCCGGTCCGGCGACTTCAGTTTGCCCGGAAGGCCGGCGCTGGGAGGTATTTTTACAGAGCCGGGCGAGTGTTATTTGTGCGTGACCCCCTACTTCCCCCGCCTCAACTCCAGTTGATGGAGACTGACCCCTGAAGCGGAGCGGGCTTCGAGCTTCATCCCTCAGGCCCTCAGGCCTGAGCCGGTGACCCGAGAATGAAAAAAAATAGGAGTGAAGGAAAAATAAGCCAGTGATGGTTTCTCATGCTTTACCTCGCCAGCTCGTGGGTAATACCGGGGGGGTTTGTGGGCTCCGGGGGTGGGGCCGAGCTAGGATGAATTGAAGGGGGCCCAGAGTGTGTGCGATATTTGGGACGTACTTGTATTTTGAAATTATTAGTTGTTTATTTAAATTTGAATTTAACTGGGCGTCCTGTATTTTATCCCGCAAACCTTGGTGGAGGGATGGGAAGGGAGAACAGGAAGCTTCGTAGGGTTCCTAAACTATATCACACCCTCATGCCTCAGTGTCATTGTACTTGCTATTCTTCCTGTCAACGTTACCTTCCCCTCCGCAGTCACTACTTAACCCTTCAGGCCTCGGCTCAAGTGTTAACTCCTAAAAGTATATCCTGGCTCTCAGCTCACTTTTTCATCATGCACTGCCATATAGATGCCTTTCCGCTAACTGAGGGTAGACGAACAGAGGCCGAAGGGCTGTAAGCTCTAGAAAATCACTCACACAGAAGCCCCTGCCCTTCTATGTAAATATAGAGTCCTGTCCATTGCCTGCCCTCCCATTGCTCCAAAATTCCCTTTTGGAATGACCACCCCTATATTATAGCATTTGTCAGTGATAACTTTTTTGTTTCATTTTCCTAGTTTTCTGTCAGGGCATTTTGAGTTCTTTGAGAACAGAGATTATCTTGTTCTTTTCTGTACCTCAGTATATAACACATTACCAGGCACAGTAGGCATTCTGTACAAGTTGAATTGATTTTTGAGGTTCCTCTTACCAGGATACCTCTGGAGTGGCATCTTTGGGGTGCTCCCAACTCCCAGTCCTTTCCTCTTTCAAATAGCCTATATCTATTTCAAGTTCTTCCCCCTTCACCCATCCCACTCCAACCTTACTCCCATGAATTTCTCACTAAGGACTCTAACCCATTAGCTCTTTCCCTTCTGTGGGCACTTATTGAACTTACAGTCTGCAGTTCAGAATTTCATAATTTATTTTAGATTGTATTCATAAACCTTTCAGTGAGATTGTAGGGTTTTTGAGGTTAGGGGTTGTATCTTATCCTTAATTTTTAAAAATTACTCATAATTTATTGCAGTCTTAGGCACATGGTACATGTTCAGTAACTACTGATTTACTTGATTTTACAGATTGATCCTGCTTCCTAGGGAACGTCTTCTAAACTAGCATCTACTAGAGTAGATGACTCCATCCAGTCTGAACATGCAGCTCCCAGGACTACCCTCCATTCATCCATCATACAATTTACATTTATCCTTTGTATGAACCAAGTTAATCTCACACATTCCATATTCATATTCTGATATCTCTGTCTTTATCTGAACCTTGGTATAAGTATATGCCTTATGTTGATAATTACTTTTAACCATTTTTTTTGCAGTACAGTAGCCATATATACAATGGCAGCACATCATCATTCAAATAATGATGATTATGATTTTTTTTTAAATGCTATTCTCACATTTAGAAATCAAATCTTAAAGATTCATGAAAGCTATAGGTTTTTTTTTTAATTTACTTATTTTATTTATTTATTTATGGCTGTGTTGGGTCTTTGTTGCGCACAGGCTTTCTCTAGTTGTGGCGAGCGGGGGCTACTCTTCATTGTGGTGCGCGGGCTTCTCAATGCGGTAGCTTCTCTTGTTGCAGAGCAGGGGCTCTAGGCATGAGGACTTCAGTAGTTGTGGCTCGCGGTCTCTAGAGCGCAGGCTCAGTAGTTGTGGCGCACGGGCTTAGTTGCTCCGTGGCATGTGGGATCTTTCTGGACCAGGGCTCGAACCCAGGTCCCCTGCGTTAGCAGGCGGATTCTTAACCACTGCGCCACCAGGGAAGTCCATGACAATGATTTCTAATAGCCAGCTTTGTTGAGAACTTATTTGCAGTGTGTCAGTCACTGTGCTAAATACTTAACCATGTAAGGTAGATATTCCCACCTTCACAAATGAAATCAAGGCTTATGGAGATTAAGTAATTTTCCGAAGTCATATAGTCAACTAGTGGCAGAGCTGGAACTCAAAAGCAGCTCTGTCTGGCCCAGAGTATTCTTAACTACTGTGTGGCTAACCTACAAATAAAATGTTGATGATGAATTCTAATTTCCCTCTCTGCCTCCTCTCATTGATCTCTTGTTTGAATCTTTCTGCTATTTTCTGTCACTGTGATTCTGTATATTTATTCTTTTCTTCTGCCAGTGATAGATAAGTGAGGGTTAGTCCCAGAAGGTAGAGAATATGGGAGGTAGATGTCAGAGGATTAATTAAGTGAGGGTTCCTCTGGTTGGGTTGGTTCAGGTAGTATGACAGAAAGGCCTCAGCTAATTTGTCCCTATAGAGCCTACCTAGTAAATTGGTGAGAGGCACCAAATTTGGGCAAATAAGGAAACAGTAAGCAACTAATCAAAAGAAACGAAGCTTGGATCAAAATGAGATGTAGGTAGTGTTTGTGGGACTGAAGAGGGGACGGGAGTCCAGTAAAATTAACTGGACGTGGTGTGCCAACTATTGTTACTATTTCTAGGCGAGACAGAAGTATCACGGGGTCTAAGGGCTCCATATTGAGCTTTTTGCATTGGGTGTAGGGGTTCTGTTTTCTCACTTCTCCCTGCAAGGGCTGCATTTTTTCAAATGCTCAACTGTTCATTACCTCTTGAATTATTACTTACAGCCCTTCCTCATTCTCCCTTTCACTGTCTGTCTCTAGGTTTCCATTCTTTTAGAGCCAGTGGCTAGGGAAGGCACACACATGCATACCTCATCCCTAGCATCCTTAGCCAGGACCTTGGCCTTGGTCACTATGCTGTATATGCTGTCATTACCTTTTTAGATCCATTCGCCATCTCTTCTGCCCTGTTCTGTGCATCATCACACAGTCTCCCTTGCCCTCTGGCTTCTCATTAGAATAAGCCAGTGGCAGGCACTAGCAGATCTTCGGCAGTGGCTGAGTTCCTCTACCTAAGGCCAAGCCTCCTGCTAAAGCTGTAGCCCTCTCCCTTCAGAAACTCTCACCAGGTTTCAATGATGGTCCCTTCAGCTTTAATACCGGTAAAGGCTTCCTACCGTTGCAAGTCCCAGGGTGCTTCACAAGCCCCTGTTGGTTTATTGACCATGCCCACACCTTTGTAAATACTCCCTTCATTAAGTCCTGTCCAGTTAGCCCTTTGAGTGTACCATCTGCTTCCTGCTAGCACCTGTAATTCAATCACCTTCTTTTTTCTTTTTCTAGATCTTGCTTATATTTCCTGCTTTGTAATTTCTTTTGAATCTATCCCTAATTCTTTTTGTGCTCAGCATCCTGCACCTTAGTCCAGACTTCAACAGCTCAATTTGATAACAGTATTGACACCTGTACTCAACTGGGATCTGTGGCAATTACCTTTCCCCTAAGGTTTTGCAAGTCTCTTAACTGGTTTAGTGTCTCCTGTCTCTCAGTTCTACTGCCAGATTGTTATTCATAAACAGTACTATAATTAGATGCTTTCCTTTCTCAAACATCTTCAATAGCTCCCAAGCCTGTGGAAAAAGATAATAATTTAGACTGACATTTAATCCCTCCATGACCCTGCCTTTTCAACCTGTTCACCTAGAAAGCCCTCTGTTCTAGGTTTTTTCAATTTAATTTTTATTTTATATTGGGGTATAGTTGATTTACAATGTTGTGTTAGTTTCAGATGTACAGCAAAGTAGTTCAGTTATACATATACATAGATCCATTCTTTTTCAGATTCTTATCCCATATAGGTTATTACAGAATATTGAGAGAGTTCCCTATGCTATACAGTAGGTCCTTCTTGATTATATTCTAATATAATGGTTAGATGGTTAATCTCTTAAATATGCCTTTTGCTTTCTTACTGTGGTACTTTTGCCTGTGCTGTCCCACCTACAAAGAATCCTATTTCTCATCACTTATTTGTATGCTATTTGTCTCTCAGTGCTAGGCTCAAACCTGAACTCTCTGGACTCTTCCTAAATCTTAACTAGTGGAAATGATCTCTCCCCAAAAACGTTGGTGTTTGTTGTCTGTTCTATTTTTTTAAACAGTTAATTTTGTCATGCCTTATGAAATATGTTGTCTAAATCTTTTACGGTTATTTAACCAATATACCACCTCCACTGCATACTAGCTGTGTGAACTGTAGGCAAATTCCTTCCCTCCCTCTTTTCTTCCTTTCCTTCCTTCTACATTTATTGAGCATCATACATGCAGGTGCTGTGCTAAGTGCCCAGCTGTACTGGTGACCCAACACTGACAGGAATCCCAGTTACAGTTACATGGCACTTAAACTCTAGTGAGCGAGGCAGACATTAGTCAAATAAATTCACAAGTAATATAAAATTGCATCTGTGACAAGTGTAATGAAAGAGGGGTACATGATGCAATCACAGCTTTTAACAGGGTTTGGTCTAAGATGGGCATACTGAGAGTTAACTTGGGAGTTGGTAGGCAGTACGGAGAGTTCCCCAGAAGGAATAGCAGGTATAAAGCCAAAAAAAACTGTACGTACCTTGCTGGCATGTATCATGTCTTCTGTTTTTTGTCACTTGAATGGTACATTTCATGTAATAGGAACTCAGTTGATTTTTCTTGAATCCTGTGTCAGATGTGTTCTAACCAGACCTCTTAGATTGATACCATCCCTTGCCTAGTGCCTATCCCTGGGGAATGTTTTCCACGGAGATCTCACTGTTTAGAACATGTTGTTAATGGCATATCTGGCCCTAATGTATGCTACTTGTTATTTTATCTTATTTTCTTCACAAGTTGGCAAGTTTCTTCATATGTTATGGGACTGTATATTTCACATATCTTATATATCTCTCATGTCTTATGACTCATCCCTAAAAAACAGTGTTTCCCAAATGTTGTAGATAAGTATTTACTGACGATGGTAAGAGACCCAATTTTCTCCCTCTGTCCTTCCATTTCTGGGGAACAAGAATCAGTGACCATAGGGGTCTGTTACTTCAATTCAGGGCTGGATATTGATAGCCAGGCCTCTTTCAGGCTATTGATAGATAAGAATAGAAGGGAAACCCACTTCTTTAAGAACTGGGCCAGGAAATGCCCAGTGACTAAATGAATAGGCATATAGAGCCTTGAGGATATATAAGGAACGACCTGCACTGTAGTGTGGCAGGGAAGTTGGGTGCATGATCACTGGCTGAAAGGGACAGTGCCTGGGTTCCAAAGCAACTTGACTTTGCTGGATTAACCTGAGCCAATTTTCAGATGTCTAGGTCTTAACTTTTTTTGTAACCCTTTAAAAACTGAGTTTAAAAGGTATTTGCTACAGGACCCTGAAGTTAATGAGGGGAGGTGTGGGAAGGGAGTTGGGGGAATGCATGATAGCACCAAAGGGGAAAGGCCTGGCTGTGTGGTCAGAAGCTCTTCCAGCACAGCTCAATTCCACACTCCTTTCCCAAAGGTAGGTCAGTGAGTTCAGGCCTTAGTAACAGGATTAGTTTTGTTTTGTTTTGTTTTTAACTTTTTTTTAAAATTATTTTTCTTTGGCTGTGTTGGATCTTCGTTGCTGCGCGAGGGCTTTCTCTAGTTGCGGCAGGCGGGGGCTGCTCTTCATAGCGGTGCGCGGGCTTCTCATTGTGGTGGCTTCTCTTGTTGCGGAGCACGGGCTCTAGGCATGCGGGCTTCAGTAGTTGTGGCACATGGGCTCAGTAGTTGTGGGTCACAGGCTCTAGAGAGCAGGCTCAGTAGTTGTGGTGCACGGGTTTAGCTGCTCCTTGGCATGTGGGATCTTCCTAGACCAGGGATCGAACCCGTGTGCCCCGCATTTGCAGGTGGATTCTCAACCACTGCGCTACCAGGGAAGTCCCCAGGATTAGTTTTGCTTTCTAAAAGAAGCTAGAGTGAAGAACAGAGATTCAGCCATTTTATTTAGTAACTTGTTCTGAACAGACAAGAATAAAATAAACCAAAAAAACTCACATGTCTTTTTTCCTAGGTACATTTGACCTGGTTTAGTCTTTAATGCAATGAATGGAAAAACCATCCCTAGATATTTCTGCTTCAGTAGAGTTGGCCATTACTGAGCCGGAGCCCAGGCTAACTTTACAGCAAAGGTAGTGTGTTATTTTACAAATAAGCTAGGTTAACTAGCAAGGGTAAAGGACCAGGGTAGCAGCCTTGGGAGGGGGCAGTGTCCCTGGCTTGTAGCAATAGTATAACTGGCTTCCTTTCTCTTCTCAGGCCTCAGAGAGAAATTCCTGGATGGTCTTATTAGCTGACAGGTTGGGGTAGGAGGTTGGGCAGGTAATGAGGTGAAGCACAGAGTAGGGATTTCAGAAGTCTCTCCCCATCCCCTAGGGCAGCTGGTACCCCCACTCCTCATTTTCATACAGAGGTACAAAGCTAAAGCACCACGCCCTCCCCCATGCTCAGATGCCAAGATTGGGACTCTTCTAGCATAGAGGGCATTCTCTTTGGGCTGCTTGCAACCATACAGAAATCTGATCCTCTGCCTTGGGAGTATCTTGGGCCCAACAGCTCTTTAGTCCTGGCATTTAGATTCTAGAGTTGAGGCTTCCCTTCAGTGCCTTCTACACACTGAAGTGTTCAGCTTCTTAGTTGAATAGCCATCACCTGGGGCTGGAGCTGCAGTTGCCCCACCCCTGTGGAGGAAGGGGAAATACAGTGTACCTTAAGAGAGGGAAACAGGATTTTTTTTTTTTTGAAGTGCTACAGTCACAGGACACTGCTGGGGATGGGAGCGCACAGCCTAAGTAGTAGATTCTCCTAGATTTCCTCAGATGGAGTGTCTCCCTCCTCATGTTCCTCTTATCTCCCCTCTTCCTGGTCCTGTCAGCAGCACAGGGTTTGTCAGAAACCTCATTGGAAGCCTCTTTATTTCTTTTTTTTTTTTTTTTTGCGGTACGCGGGCCTCTCACTGTTGTGGCCTCTTCCGTTGCAGAGCACAGGCTCCGGATGCGCAGGCTCAGCGGCCATGGCTCACAGGCCCAGCCGCTCCGTGGCATGTGGGATCTTCCCAGACCGGGGCACGAACCCGTGTCCCCTGCATCGGCAGGCGGACTCCCAACCACTGCGCCACCAGGGAAGCCCGCCTCTTTATTTCTGAAGAGCAGCTTCTACCCCTCCCTTTACCATCATCAAACCTGAAAGCCTTAGTCAGGTATCTCACTTCCATGTTGAAACCAGGATCACTGGCTATAAGTCTGGGAATCTGGGGAGTCCTGCCCCCAAACCAGAGCAAGATATCTGCCCCCATGCTAAGCTCTCTGAATACTTTCTTTCTGTACATTCAGTATATTTGGTCCTATATACATCTATTTACATCTCTCTACATATATATATATATACATATATATATATATATATATATTATCTGTTTCTCTTTCTTAGATAAACCTTTCATTTATATATCATAGCTTAATTCCCTGAGCCTCCACCTACCTCTTACCTGCTAGCCCAAGTAACACTCAAGGGTTTCATTGATTTCACCAGATCGCGCAGCACCACCCTTCCTCATCTTCATACCCTGAGTATCCTCCCCCATCAGTTGTGTTGACCATCCTCTGAAATCTCCTCCCTTAAGATCTGTGCCCAGTGCCCTCCTGACATTCCAAGTCCGTGATTGGTGCGGTCAGGGATCCCATTTCTCATCAGACCTGGCTGCTTCTAAAGCTTGCCTGATAGCCTGAAAGGTGATTTCAGCTCAGAGGAGAGGGGGGCTGTAAAGAACCACTTAGGGTTGAGGGAGAGGGGCATTGCTCTCTGATGGGGCTTATGGGAGAATAAGCCAGGTTGTATTAAGAGGAGAGTATGATTGAAAGTGCAATTTAAAGGAAAGTGTGGAATCATGCAGCAGACTCAAAAAGGTTAAGTCAGAAAGTGTTCTCATTTTGTTATCCAAGAATCTGAGGATTCTGGAGGCTTGGAATAGACAGCAGGGGAATGGGAAGAGAGTGTTTCCCTCAGGAGGGAAGCAGCTCTGTGCAGAAGAAACTTGATGGAGGATAACTTGCTAATGGATAAGAAGACACACACATACACACACACACACAGGTTGAAAGAAATCAAGTGAGTCTAACATTTGAATAAAGTTGAGAGCCCAGAAGCTGGCTCTTTGCCTTCTGTTCTCTGTCTCAGATTTTCAAGTTGTCCCTGTTCTTGTTTTCTTGAGAGCTAGGTAGTAATGGTGGGGTTTACAGTAAGTAGGGAATGAAGGGTCTTCATCTTCAAGATTTAGTTAGTTGAGTTCAAGGAGAGATCAATATAAGAGGATCTTGTGCAGTTGTAGTAAATGGTGACCATGGGTCCAGCCTCCAAATTTCGTGGGTTTCTCTTGTGAGGCTCTGCACACAGATGCATATACTCATTCTGTATAAAAGTGTAGCTTATAACACCTGGCTGGTCCACCTTAAATAAACTGCCACTTGATTCATACAGCGACTCTGTGCCAAACCAGCTGGGGTGGGGGAGAGTGTCCCTTGGTACCTAAATGAGAACAGGAAGCACTCTTGGGATTTGGAGCTTTAGAGAAAGTTCTGGTGCCCATACACCCTTCCTGACCCCATACCACAGTCCCCATCAGGGAACAAGGAGTGCCCTGAGTCTGATCTCGTAAAGTATGCCTTTTAACTTGCCTGAAACTGGCTTCATAGCAGAGGAGAGGAGAGATGAGACTGATATTCATTTTATACTGTCTCAGGAATGGCTGAGGGAGACCATGGTTATTTGATCAGGAGGTATAATTTCCTTCCCTCCCAGCACTGCCTAACAAAATAGCTGGCACTTTTCAGAAGGGCACTGGGAGGGGTAACAGGGTGAACAGTATCTGCCAGCCACAGAGTCCTGCCTCTGCCCAGACCTTAACAAAGCATTGCCAATTCCCAGAAGCTCTACACAGCAGTCTGGAAATCGGAGAATGTACTCATCCCATTTGGTTGGTTTAACTTTTCTGGGGACCCTGTGCCCTGTGAGTCTAGTTTTAGTGGTAAGAGAGGAAGGCCCTTGCATTTTCTCCCCCTTCCTCCAAAGTTGGGTTTAGGTGAGAGTGGGCTGGGCAGGAAAGAATCAGAGAAGCCAGGGACAGTGTAATCTGGAACACCATTTCCAGACCTTTCTGTGGGGCCTGGGCATTGGACTTTTTCCAGGGGAACATATTGGGGAAGGTCATTACTTTCATGGGACACAGGGAAACAGATCCCCCCAGGGCTGCCTGGAGGCTAGGTTCAAGGTTTTAGACAATAGCTCTGCATTAGTCACCCCACAATAAAGAGTTCAGTATTCAGGTCAGGAACAGGTGTGGTGGCTGTGCCTGTATGCTTTGTATCTCCCAGGTCAACTCCAGTTCTCTGGGAGCAGAGGCATCTATGTGGGATCTGGGTATCCTAAGTGTCCACTTGAGAAACTAGAAAGAGGAGAACAATGGGGACCAAGGTCCCAGGTCATAGTCAGGAGTTGCCAACAGAAATTAACTACACCATGAAAAACCCTGGCTTCTTTCAACAGGTTCTGGTAGAGACTTCAGAATAAAATGATTCTGGACTCCTATATTTCTGAGGGCACAAACCCCAAAGGGACCATCAGAGGGAGAGTCTTGCCTTAGGGAACTTGCTAAGTGGAAAGATAGGGAGGGGGCTCCAGCCTCAAAGCACCAAACTTTCTGGTGGTGGTGGTGAGAGGTGGCGGGGTGGGGGGAGCCTATCCATCCAACTGCATGGTCCTCCTAATGTGAGTCTCCAGGCATGGCTGAGGCCTTCTAAGCCACTTCAGCCTAATCTTCCCTCTCCTTCCCCCATCCTGGCTTAAGGGACGTGTGCATCTTGGGGTGGAAGTGCGTCGAGGTGAAGGGAACAACGGGAGGAAGTCCAGTTGGCCTAGACTACCACAGGCCAACTGGGTTAAAGAAGAGGGAGTGGAGAAGGGTGCTTCTGGGGCTGTCCAGTAAGCCTGGGTAATATCCCTCACCCAGGATGCCAAAAGAGGAAAAGAGACCAGAAGTATGGGGGGGTGGGGAACCAAGCCATCAGACATTGCTGATGCGCACACTAATGGCACTGCCCTCCTTCTCATCCTGCTCCCTTAATGACTCCTCCAACTTGAGCTTTTCAGGGTCTCTGTAGCGTACACTGGTGTCACGGAGGCCACTCGGAGAGGCTACTTTCACAACTTGGTCAAAAAGGCTAAAGTCTGCTATGTATTTGCCACTGGCTGACAGCGAGATGGCGGGTGTGAACTCGTAGCCCCAAAGGATCTCCTCCGGCAGGTAGGAAGTGCGCACCTGGCAGGTGGCGCTGGTGGATTCCACTGTCCCACTTAGGATCAGCACCAGCTCGAAGTCACCCTCACCACTGCGGAGGGGGAGGTCTTTCAAGGGACTGGTCTCATCCACCACATGGTAGAAGGTAAGGGGCAGGATGAGGAAGGGGCTGTCAGAAGCCGTGTCCACTTGGAAAGTCACATTGACCTGGTTGAGCCGGATGTTCTCACCCTCCTTTGTCTGGTGGGTCTGAAGCAGTTTGCCTGTCACCTGGCAGCCAATGAGGAGGCTCTTACGCATGTTGGCGACTCGGATCATAAGACAGGGCTTTCCATTGTGTGCAGCTACAACCGCATGCTGGCTGAAACGGATGGTCTCTGCCCGCTTCTTGGGCCGGGCAATCTTTGCCAGGAAGGTACCCGTGATGAAGATTTCCAGGATGGTGGTGAGCACCAGCTGGGCAATAAGAAGCACGATGGCCAGCGGGCACTCCTCACTGATGTAGCGGAAGCCATAGCCAATGGTGGTCTGGGACTCAAGGGAGAAGAGGAAGGCCCCGGTGAGCGTGTGCACCTGTACCACACAGGGGGTATGGTTGGCTGGGGGTCCCAGCTCCAGCAGGTCCCCATGGGCTACAGCTACCAGATACCACACCACACCAAAGAGGAACCAGGTGCCTGCAAAGGTTGCAGAGAAAAGCAGAAGCTTGTAGCGCCACTGCATGTCAATGAAGGTTGTCCACAGGTCCTTGAGGTAGAGGAAGCGCTTGTCAGCAATGTGCTCCATTCTCACATTGCTGCGGCCGTCTTTTGTCAGGACTCTCCTCCGTCGTATCCCTGGGCCCATTAGGGGCCGGCTTTCTGTCTGAGTGGTTTGGCTGTAATACACCTTGGCAACCGACGTCATCTGCAGAGAGCAAGGCACAGCATAATGAGCGGTATTGCAAACACCCAGCAACTCCCAGCCACCACCCAACGGGAAGGAAGGAGAAACATTCATTTTAGTGCCACTGATTTGTCCTCTTATTAGCAAATGTGTACTGAGCACTTGCTATATGCCAGGCACTGTAGTGCAAGATGCTGGAAGGTCAAAGATGAATCTGAGAGCATTCTTGCTCGCCAAGAACTCACAGCATCGTGAGAAAGATTCATGTTCAGTAAGCAAACCATTGCAGTACAGTCTGACATTTGTAATTCTTAGGAGAAGCAGAGAAGAAAGAGTAATAAGTTCACAGTTCCTTGAAGGTGGGAGTGAGACTAAAGAGGGCTCTACTGGTCTCCATTCACCACAAAACCAGTTCTGTGAAGATCTCTAATTCTGAAATAGGATCCCTCCCCACCCTCAAGAATGGCAGCAGCGAGAAAGACTATCGTGTTGAACTCCTTCCAAGCCAGTCCCCCTTAACACACACATGCCCTTAATTTCTCCATCCTCTCCCCTACCTCCACGTCAGTACTCACCGGTGATACAAAGATATTCGCCTGGCTCAGAAGATAGAAGAAACTACCCATTCTTCTACCCCTTAAGATGTTCTCTGAGCACCCAGCCCGTTTCGCTATTATTATTATCATTGTCATCATTATTATTGTCATCACCTATTTGCATCTTCTGGGGAAATCAGGTCCGGGTTAGGGTCTGGGGTGGTGCTGGGAAGAGCACAGACAGAACTGAGCAAAAATAAACAAGTGATGGTGGGGGCTTCCCTGGTGGCGCAGGGGTTAAGAATCTGCCAATGCAGGGGACACGGGTTCAAGCCCTGGTCCGGGAAGATCCCACGTGCCGCGGAGCAACTAAGCCCATGTGCCACAACTACTGAGCCTGCGCTCTGGAGCCCGCGAGCCACGACTGCTGAAGCCCGCGCGCCTAGAGCCCGTGCTCCGCAACAGGAGAAGCCACCGCAATGAGAAGCCCGCGCACCACAGTGAAGAGTAGTCCCTGCTCTCCGCAACTAGAGAAAGCCCGTGCACGGCAACGAAGACCCAACGCAGCCAAAAATAAATAAATAAATTTATTAAATAAATAAATAAACAAGCGGCGGTGGAGGAAAAGCATGAAACTGAAGCCTCCTGGCAGCACAGGAACATTTTCCCAAGGACTGGGAGAAACGCCAGGTTGTAGGTGGCAAAATTGTCTTGACTGAGTGAAGTAGAAGAGTTAGGAGCGTATGTTAGTTTGTGGCTATGTCTGCACAAGTTCAAGTTCAGGATCGCTATTTACTCTGATAGTAGAAAGTGGGACAAGGCTCTGAAATAGGAGACAACTCACTTAATACAAAGTGCCTGGCACCCCTGCCCGAGGAATAACTTGTACTTTTCCATCAGAGAAAGAGTTGCAATCACTGGAGCCCTTGGACTCTGGATCTGATGGCCCGACCTTCTGGGAAGGAGCAGGTGACCTCTGGGGAATTTAGTTCTTCTTGGAGAACACAGAGTGGCTCATCACGTTCTCCATTCCGAGAAGTCTGTACCACTGCATTTTATCATTCTCCTTCACACTGCCCCTTATTCTATACTCCCATGGCCTTACCCCTGGGAAACTCTAAATTATTTGGGTCCATTCATATATCCACCCAAGCAGACACTAAATTGGAAATCACCAACAGACGAGAATCCCAGAATATTCAGAGGCAACCTGGAGCCCATTTTACACCACCCACTTGGAACTTCCATACACATGAGACTCCTTGGCCAGAACTGGATGCCATCCACTTCCCAATATCCTTGGCTACTTTGGAGCAAGAGGGAGGCTTTGTAATTCTGAAGTTTGAAGAATTCTTATTTAGAGCCCAAGTGAAGCCCCATTCAGTACTCAATAGTAGTAATATTAATAAAAGAAACAACCATCACAAAGCTTGCATCTATGTACCATTCAAAGTTTACACGTTAGCATGCCTTCTCATTTGACCCTCAAACTCGCGAAAAGATGTGAAACCTACAGGAGATTTTGAGGAACAGGGGAATCTAAAACAGATTCTAGAGAACAAAGGAAGTGCTGGAAAGCTGTGGATAAGTGAGCATAATTTTAATTTTCAAAAAGAAAAATGAAGCACATTTCACAAACTACAGACAAACAGATAAGGTATCAACCACAGGCAAGATTCTAGAATGGAACATTAAGATAGTGAATTATTGGGCAGAGTGGGGGAAAGGTAGTCATCAGTAGGACCCAGCATGGGGTTACTAAGAACAAGTAACATCACATCACGCTAACTTAATTTCCTTCTATGACAAGGTTACTAAATTGGCAGATCAGAGAAATGCAACAGAGAAAGTGCATCTAAGCAAGATTTTGACGAGATCTCAAGTTAGGTCCTTGGGGATACGACAGAGAAAAATGAACAGAATGCTTCTCTAATTAGGTGACTTAAAAAATCAGGGCTTCCCTGGTGGCGCAGTGGTTGAGAGTCCGCCTGCTGATGCAGGGGACACGGGTTCGTGCCCTGGTCCGGGAAGATCCCACATGCCGCGGAGCCGCTGGGCCCGTGAGCCATGGCCGCTGGGCCCGTGAGCCATGGCCGCTGGGCCCGTGAGCCATGGCTGCTGAGCCTGCGCGTCCGGAGCCTGTGCTCCGCAACGGGAGAGGCCGCAACGGTGAGAGGCCCGCGTACCGCAAAAAAAAGAAATAAATAAAAATAAAAAATCAGTGTTACTGGTGAGTGGATCATGATAGCCTGGAATCAGTTTTCTAGCGATGTACCACAGAGCATTATCTTTGGCCTTGCCCTAGTTGATGTTCTTAACACTAATTTTATTCAAAAATATGGAACCATCAGTTATGCAGATGACACAGAGCTGGGACGGACTGCAAATGAAAGGTCTGAGGCAGAATTAGGATCCAAAAGGAGCCAGAGGAGTGGGCCAAATCGAGCAAAAAGGATAAATGTTGGATTACATTTGGGTCCAAAAATTGCCTGAGCAAGTTCTGCATTGGAAAGATGTGATCTCGTAAGCAGAACCATGAAAATGAAATTAGGCATTTTAGCAGAAAGTAATCCAGTGTGAGTTATCTGCATGTTTTGGTTGCCAAAAAAAGCAATGCAATCTTAAGCTGCTTTAGTTGAATTAAAGTATCTAGAAGAAAATAAGGATTCAGTTGATTCTGCTCTGTTGATCCCACATCTGCAGTATTGAGTCTCAAGGAGCAATCAGGACATGAGAGGATTCAGAACCAAATCATATGAGACGTGTTTGAAGGAAACGGGGAACTTTACTTGGGAGGAGAGACGATCTGAGGGATATGAAGGCTATGTGAGAATATTTGGTTTGAAGGGCTGCCATGTGAACAAAGGTTTGGATTTGTTCTTTGAGCTCCAAGGGGAACAACCAGGACCAGTGAGTTCAAACCACTGAGAAAAAGATTCCAGACTGATATGAAGAACATTGGAACAAATGTAGAAAGAGCATCTCAAAAGGTAGAGAGTACCCTGCCCCCAGAGGTGTTCAAGGACAGGTTGGACGAGCGCTTTGCAGAGATTCTAGAGAGGAGATTAAAGCTTTGGGTGGGAAGGTTAAAGATTGCTTTTAAGTTTCCAACTACATTCATAGAGGATCAAGATGCCTGCCTCCTCCCCATCTCTACCCCGCCCCTTCTACCATGACATCCAGAGATCCCACATCAAAGCCCTAGCTTTGTTTGTGCCGAAGAGAGACTCTGTATATCTGGGGAAATGGAAGCTCTTGGGGCCCAAGGAAAGTCTTGCTTGTCGTTCCCAAGATAATAGTCTATGATTATATATCATTTTACAGTTTATGAAACATGTAATTTGACCCCCACACCATGAGGTAAGTAGGAAAGGCATCATTAGAAACTAAGGTTCAGAGAGATTTGCTCCAAGTAGTTTTGAACCAGAACCCAGGTCTTCTGGCTTCTGATCCAGAACTTTTAAATTGTAGCAACTGCTTCTGTGTATCCCAGGTTCATTCTCACAGTCTCTTGTTTTCAGGGACTGTGGTCCCCTGAATAGAGGATCAAAGCTGAGACAGAGAAGACAGAGCCCGGAGCTTCCAGAGCCCAGCGTTAAGGCTACAGATTCGGGGCACTGGAGATTTTGGCTACTGGCTAGACCTCTTTGTTGTGATTGCCACCTCCAGCTGTGTGCCTGCTGTTGCCAGCCTTTGTATCTGCCTCCTCCAGCTATTATCTGCTGCTCCCAGCTGCTGTGCCACCTCCCAGAGCCAGGCAGCTTTGTTCTCCCCGGTAGTGAGAGTCAGCAGCAGATAAACAATCAGCCACACTCCACCCCCTGGGCTCCTGGGAAGGGAGAAGGCCAGAGTTCTGGAAATGGTTTGTCGCTGCCCCACCTGAAACACACAAACTGTCTCCTCTAGAGGGTGCTGTTTCCCCCCAAACAGTCCCAGCCAGATACCAGGGACAGTAGCTGAAGAATTCTGAAAACAAAAGCAGCCTCTGAGTGGTCAAAAGAGACAGAAACAGACACAATCACCTTCTTTCTCCTCTAAAAATTAAACTAATGAGTCCCTAAAACAAAGGCCAATCACACCTACAGTGATGTCCAGCAGGTTCCCTCAGCAGATACCTCTCCCTCCTTCTGCTTCCTGCCTGCAGATTGACCTAGAGCTTTCTTTCTTTACCTGAGTCATTTGTTCTCCAGAATGAATGGATTTATCAGGGCCCTTCTTGAGTACAGGACTGCTCTGCAGTACAGACACTCCTCTTGTGAGTAAAACTGATCCCCGGCTCCCCACTGCTCTGACATTGGCATTCAAGGCCCTTCATGATTTGGTCTCTGCCTCCTTCTTGGCTTTGGTCTTGCCACTCTTCCACACGTATCGTAGACTCCAGCTCCACAAAGCACCTCGCTGTTCATCCCTTCTACCTTTGGACCCGCTTTTGCACTGGACCCACTCCGTGCCCACCTGATGACCTCCAGCTTATCTTTCAAAACTCA